TGGACCCCATTGAAGTGCATTATATGGAGAAAAATCCTGGAATGTTTTCATAAATTATCAGCAAAAGTTTTTTAAAAAGTGTACTAATCATTTAAAAACTGTTACACAATGTTAGTCAAATGGTAAACACAAAGAGCACTTTAAAAAAAGACTGTAAAACAAATCATTTCTACCAGAAAATCTTTTCATTTATGCGCTTTCTGAGTTTTGCGACAGCCAGACACTGTTGCGGGAGAGCACAGAAATGAGAGGGTGGTGCCATTTATTATTCATATCTTTAGCAATATTCACTTTAATTTCGCTTAAAAAAAATTGCTGTTGCAAACTCAGAATATAGTTCTCTCCAAAAACGAAAGTAATGGCAAACATTCTTTTTGAGGTTACCATTACTATCCTTTAGTTCCAGTGAGTTTCCAAGTCAAATTTATGTAAAAAAAAAAAAAAAAAAAAGACCAGCAGGATTCACATGGAGATAATAAGGTTTTTTTTTTTTGTCAAATCAAAATCTTTTGTACTTTAAGCCTGGGAGCATGGGTTTTTATTTTAAAACGCATTTAGCATAAACCAACACGATGAACCGCAACTCTTTTCCACGTAAGTGCAAAAAAGTTATTTTCTTTTAAATTCGAGGTGGTGATGAAGAATGGACTGGAAACCACCTCCAAATATAAATATCCAACAATTGAATGAACGACTGAAAATGCTTAAATTATTAGTTCTAATCGTTTCCATCCCATTTGAACATGAAATAATTAGGATTTTGAGAAGGATTTTTAAGAAGGAAGCAGCGATTGCAAGTTGACGATTTTGAAAACTGTGTATAGTAAGAGAACAGAATAAGTAACACACCGTTTAGACACAGACACACCAAGGGAAACGCACTCAAATTACCCTTTCAACTTTATTTCAGTTAATTCTGATACAACTAAAAGTGAGGAAAAGGGAAAGAAAAAAAAAAAATTCGAATAGCCACGAGAGATATTGACTGAACCGATTTTGCGCACCCGACAACGATATTGATGTACTCTAGCGCTTTCCATGAATTCCTTTGTGGAGGGGAAAAATGTTTACCAAAATTCTCGATAGATGTCGTCTTCATTAGCAAAAATCCCAACGATACTTTACCTGCGTGGTGGGCTTGACCTGGATTTACTCTGTCGTCTCTCCGCTGCCATATTTACATCTGAAAATAAACCAATCCAAACGTTCAACATGACAAAAGACGGAAATATTTCAGAGCCAAACGAGGTTGTTGTTTTTTTACTGAGAGGATGAACATTTAACATGGTTGCGTTTAAATTCTAAGCATTTCCAAAGTTTCAATAGTAGTTGAAAGTAAATACTACAATGTGGGGAAAAAAGCTGTAAAAGATCTTGTGTGCCATTGTGTACGTCAGTATTTGAGATTCCCCAGCTGTAAACACTTATTAAATACCTCTCGACTAAACCACCAACAATAACTGGAACTTTGCACAAATAGTGTAATGGGCCAGTGAAATAAAAAATAAATCAAAACCCATTGTCATACCATTTTAACAAGATTATAATTATAGACTTTAATTCATTTCAAAAAGTCAATATGTAATCTATTTGTGAAAAGTGCCATAGCTTTTATTTATACCGTCACAAACAAAAACGTAGAGGGAGAAAAACTAGGCTATTATGCCATTAGCATTTGCAGTTAAATTTAAGCTTTATTAGATTCACCACATTGCAGTTATTACAGTAAAAGTAGAATCATACAATTAACTGGTCCTAAGTTTTATTTCTCTAAAGTTAACTTTACTGCTCAAATTACTTCAATGTTTAAATACTAAATCAGATCTTACCTAGTTTATAACCTCTATAAATTCGACCGTTATGTCCGGCTTTAGCAGCCTCTGCATCCTCCACTCGCTCAAACTGCACAAATCCGTACCCACGAAACAGGGACAAAGCTGAAAAAGGGAACAATCATTTCGTTTTACGCAAAAAAAAAAGGCGTTTGTTGGTGGATTTTTGGCCTAAGCTTCCCTTGCTTTCTGAAAAATCGCAACTGAAGTGTAATGAACGGTGGATAAAACAAATTAAAACTGCAGCGAACACTATAAAATGCTATTTTTCCGAAACGTCTAAGTAAGTTGTTGAATTTATACGCTACTAACCCTGTATTTTCCCATATGGCCTGAACAGATCCTCCATGTCCTTCTTCGCCATGTGCGCCGTGGGCAAATTTCCAACAAAAATCCTTCGCTCCAGGTCACGAGGGTCATTGCTGTTGGTGGTGTACGAGGGTGGCGTACCACTCCGACTTCTTCTGTGCGACATGCCTCTACGAGCTTTAGGTTCAACGGCCACTTTTCAAGGAACGCTTGCAGTTGATTTTAGATACAAGACTATTTGATTAGCTATATTTCCCCCAAGGTCTTGAAATTGACGATGCATCGACATGTAAGAAAAGAAAGATTCCAGAGGTAAAATGTCTGGGCAAAGTAACAAAACACTGCAGAAGTCTTGAATGAAATCAAAATTGACCAGATTTACGTTAATGCACATTCAGGTCTGAATGAATAATCTGCTTTTCCTAATCTACACGTTGACTTTAAAAACAAACTTGAGAGGCTTCACAACAGGTAGGATTTTTAAGGACGGCGTTAATCATACGGAGTGTTTTGATGCCGGAATTAAGTGACACGGTTATTTACTAAATAAAACTTGTCTTTGATCGCGAGTTTTCCAGCTCACTTCATGTCCGTAGCATTCTCATGCAAACACACGCAGCCCAAATTGCGCTCGCTGCTTTTGATGAAAGATTGTGGGTGAAGACGAAAGGAAAACCTGTTGGATGAACTGACCACAAACATGTTTCCAGGGAACAACACGCGACGGAAAATATGGCGTGGCGTTGAAGGTAACCACAAATCTTGAATTGTGCCAACCAAATACACAAGTTCATGGGGATAAACATAAAATGCTCCCCAAAAATCACTTGCAGGTTGTTCAAAGTTTTTTTTAAAAATGCCTTTTGTCGGTATCCACAACATAAAAGGCGATGTTTGAAGAAAATGATGATCGTCAAGCTGTTTCTTGGCCCACTCGTTATTGTGCAGGTTCTCAACATGGTAGTTGGAAGTTAAGAGCTCACGGATGCTGTTGTCTTTGTGGTCCGCTTCAGGATTCTCATCTGTGACATTTTGGTAAGTTGCAAAACAATCATCATACTCTTTTCCAAAGCTGTGCAACACCTTACCAGACAAATGTTGCCCATTCCACCTTAAACGTTTTAGTTTTTTTTCCCTCAAGACTCTACCTCAAGAATATGAAAGTCTGAAAAATCCAACAATGGAGAGTGAAAAACCGTGTAATTCAGATTGATATAATGTCAATCACAAGATATTATACAATGTATTGTACTGTTAAGAAAAGGACATCATCTTCATATGACATCAGGATGAGTTCAATTGTTTTCATGGGTTTGTTATACTTGCAATAAAATATCCAAATCGGAATATTTACATAGGTTACTGTGTTTTTTATACAGAGAATGGCTTAATATTATTAAAACGTTACACTTGTTATGATTCAGGACTTTGACACTCTATTACAATCTTTAATACGTTAATATTAAAAATTAAATTTGTTAAGGTGTAACGTTACACTATACAGCCAAAAAACAAACCAGTTCCTGCTGGTTTCGCTTTGTTCAAAGAGTCAAAGCAATAAACTGCAACAGTAAAGTTTATTGTGATTCAATATTTTAATTGTTACACTGCCTATCAGCCTCCATTGTGTTATTTACAGGACTTCTCACTACTCAAAATAGCAGAGCCACAGAAAACGGACAAATGAAAATGGACCGCGGGAATCCTCGTCAGCGCCACAACAACCCTTCCGCCATTTTGTGACCGTGCAGCGACGTCAGTCAAAATCAAACCGCGTAAAAGAATGCGCAAATATTACTGCAAACGACATAACCCGCATATTCACAAGAAAAAGTTGCAGATTGCGCATATTCTGCACACATAAAAGCTGCAGGGAAGACCGCGCACACTTCGCCTGGTGCGGTTTTCGAAAAGGACGCCATGTTGCTCCATAACTCCACACAGAGTTGAAGCTCCGCTGCTCTGAAAATCGTTCGTGTGAGGTTTTTTTTTTTAATCGTCACGTTGTTGAACGATTCAAACATTGCATTCTTAGAACCAAAACTAGCTTCACGGCATTTAACAATAAAAACATAATAATTAATTATTCGGCTAATATGTCAGCTAGCAAACTAGCTTACATTTTATAACAATGGATGCAGTTGGGAGCTCCAGAAGTTCACATTCCTGAGAAGAGTTTCGTCGGATCAAATCCTTACCGTTACCATGTGAACCTGGAAAATATCCCGCGATTTTCCTGCGTCGTCCTGTTTGTGCAAATAATCACAATGAATGTTCAGCGGCTGCAGCCTGCAACCTTGCGGGGATGATCCTGTGCGGAACTGCGTGCGAATCGCTCAGGGAGACGGTGTTGATGGCGCTTGTTTTCAAAATAAAAGTACCTGCGCTAAAGTAAAATATCTTTAATTTCCGTTTGAAACATTTTTTTTACAGTCTACAGGTTTGATTAGACTTACAAATGCAAAAATTAAAAATAGGAATTACGTGATACATAAAATACATTTATCATTTATTAATTTATCATTTACTTACTTACGGAACACCACAAAAACGGTCTATTACCTCAATAGTAATATGAAAAAAAAATAGATATTTAAATATAAGACAGTTTACGGTTTCTTTTTGCGTTTAGTATACACTTTTATTTTGAAACGGTGGACGAAAACCATCATATTTTTTGGAAGCATTGACCTTTTTTTAAAAGAAACGGGTCTGATGGACCGGTTATTGCTAATTATGAGAGTTTTTTTGTTTGTTTTTTCCACCTACATTCTGCCAATTCTTCTGATCCACACTCCTGCTCAGTAGGTGGCGGTAAAGCATCTAATAAACCGCTAATGAAAAGATAACAAGAAGAAGACAACATCATGTGACTCCATCACGGGAAAGTTGAAGTCACATGAGTTGTGGGTCTTCTTAAACACTTCACTGGTCGGTTTGGGTTCACTTGTTTGTTCCCACACCTGGAAAGGTAAGACTGAAATAATAACACTATGGATGTCTTTGCCTAAATAACACGTACCTCACTTTTCAGTTTTGACTTTCACCGATACACACTTAAGTTAATTTCCTGGTTAGTTACATAAAAGGATATACAGCTTCCCCTTCAGTTTCTGGTTACGCTTTTGCTTCAAATTGTTATAATTGGTGATGTCTCATTTAGTATGAGGTTAGGTCAGCAAGTGTTGCTGTGTTTTTCAGATGCATCTCGTGTTGGTGTGTTTGCTGCTGGGGGTCCTGGAGGTTTCTGGAGCTCCAGATGCAGATGAAATCAAATATCTGCCTGGACTTTCCAAACAGCCCAGCTTCAAGCATTATTCTGGATACTTCAGTGTAGCGGACAACAAGCACCTCCACTACTGGTCAGTAGGCCTGGCTGATTTTCACTTTCATTTATTAGCATTAGCATTTATTTCACATTTATTTATTAGCATTAATGTGTTCTGCTCCACTTGATCAGGTTTGTTGAATCTCAGAAAGATCCGGCCAATAGTCCGGTTGTTCTGTGGCTTAACGGAGGACCAGGATGCAGTTCCATGGATGGTTTGCTCACAGAGCACGGACCTTTTCTGGTGAGAAGTCACAGCACTTCATTATATAACCATACTATTTAAAAGACAAATGCTTTTTAATATACATGCATGTAATTATTATTATTATTTTTACAGATACAAGATGATGGAGCTACTCTAGAATATAATCCTTATTCTTGGAACAAGGTATGGGTAATGTCTTTATTTTAAGTATTTCAGGATTACAAAATGAGTAATTGCTATGATGTGAAATGAGGAAGTCACATGGCCAGTTTTCATCTTAAGCAGTATTTTCAGTAACTGGACTATGACACTTCCTTCATCCAGTCACATGCTCTTATGCTTTTATATTCTTGGCTATAGCAAACTATCTATAAGGGGTGTGCAAACAAACTCTTTATTTAAAGTCATTGGACTACATAAAAAGAAACAACGGCGTTCATCCAAATAAATTAATTTTACGCAGTCCAGTGATTTTTAAATAAAGAGTTTGTTTGGACATTTTATAACCTGGATGTTTTATGTTAAATATGGGGTGTTTTTCCAGATTGCAAATGTCTTATACCTGGAGTCACCAGCAGGTGTCGGCTTCTCCTACTCTGATGACAAGAAGTACTCAACAAATGACACTGAGGTATGATTCAAATCATATTCCCTTTAGAGAAACATTTGCATTGCATAGTGCTTGATTGCACTGGACAAAACTTAAATGCTAACCATGTGCTCGATGACTTTTCCAGGTGGCCATGAACAACTACTTGGCCCTGAAAGCGTTTTTCCAGTTGTTTCCTGAGTTCAGCAAGAATGAGTTTTTCCTGACTGGCGAGAGTTACGGGGGCATTTACATTCCCACACTGGCGGAGATCGTCATGGAGGACAGCAGCATCAATTTAAAGGTAGAACGGGCTTCATTTTAACCATCCTGCCCATAAACAATAGAGACATTGAGTGTCTCGATCCATGTGATTCTGTTTGACGTGTGTATTTGTGTCTTGTAGGGAATTGCGGTTGGAAATGGCTTGTCCAGCTATGAGCTAAATGACAATTCATTGGTGTATTTTGCATACTATCATGGGCTTCTTGGTACCAGGTACAGTGTTTTCTAACCTAATAGGACTGAATATGAATATAAAAAAAAGTCTAAAATTTAAAAAAAATCACAATTTAAACCCTTTAAGTGTAATCTTTTTAAAGCCGTAATATCCTATACTAAACCTAAACTAATTTTGACAATCCATATCATTTGTAAGCTTACAGTCTCTAGTTTCATATTTGGGGATTATATTTTCAAAATAAATTACAGAGGAGCTGTAATTTATCAATTTAAAACAGGAATATTTTCTGTGGCGTAGTAAGACCTTTATTTTGAAATGGTTTTGATGAAAGTCATTAAAGAAGGGTAGAAACCTACTTGTTATTTTTATGTTTTTCTTAGAGTTTGAATTCATACCAAAATATGTCAAACTTCTCATATTACTTCTAAATAGGATGTCTACTTCATAAATTGTGTAAATAATGGTTCATATCACTTAAAACACATATGGAAATGGCGGCGCCCTTATATGAGAAGTAATGGAGTCTGGTTGTACCCTAGTGGAAGCGTTTGGTACTGCGCACACACACTCACTGAAAGCTAATTTACTGAGATATCAACCTAAAACTTGAAACACAACTTGTTCAGATTATTGGCTTTGATTGATTTTGCCATTTTAGAGTCGCCCAGGTTTTGAAAATACATGTTTTATATAAAATATGAATAATCCCATTTTTTACATTGTACATTTTCATAAACTCAAACTTCTATAACTTTGTTTTTTTTGTATTTCACTCTCTTAATTTATTTCGCTTCTACAAAAATCTGCCAAATGTCTTTAAAACAAGACCAAGCTTGCGTCTATATTTCAAATCATTCTTGAATTACAACCGTTTGAAATGTGCATTTTAAGTATTGTGTTCTAGGTCTGTGATCATTTTAAACAACTCTATTTTCCTGTCCATGTAAACCTCATTGAAATGCTCCCGCAGTGCTTTGCAACGTTTTTGTAGTTCCTTATTTTGCTAGTCCAAATATAATTCGCTGTATTACGACTTCAAAATAGACCAACAGCCAATCAGCTTTGTGCATTCAGGCTGGCTTCAGTACTGTTCAGTTTGAATAAATTAATTTGAGACTCCTTTGTACATTTTTGTTTTATGTTAGGATATATATATAGGACTTAAATTTAATTCATAATGGTCTTGACTTTGTGAAACCTGCAGAAATGCTGTCTTAATGTTGCTCTATTGAACATGCACTTTAATTTTGTAAACTGGTGCTTGCTGTAAAGGCGTCAATATTACTGTTTCTTTTGTTTTGTATTTTAATCTCTGTCTTTATTTATTTGTTCTTGTCTAGCTTGTGGAATGACCTGCAGAACTTTTGCTGCAAAGATGGAGTGTGTAACTTCTACAATAGCCAGGATGTGATCTGCTCGTCTTCTGTAAGTCGAACTGTTTACAAATGGTTTGAGATGCATTAGGTGCCCTATATTCTTTATTTACAGCATCTTTTCTTTCTGTAACTCTTTAGGTAAATACAGTTCAAAGCATTGTCTACGAGTCAGGGCTCAACATCTATAACCTGTATGCAACCTGTCCCGGAGGTGTTCCTGGGAGACTAAGGTGAGCATGAACCAGTTACATGTGACATTCCTCTGAATGTGCTTTTTAAAAAGGTTGCAGTGTGTCATTTTGTCCTGTGTTTTGATTTCAGCTTTGAAAATGACCAATTTGTGATCCGAGACTTGGGCCACCACTTCCTCAACCATCAATGGTCCAAATTACAGAACCAGGTAAAGAATTAAGAATATATGTCTGTGTGTGTGTGTGTGTGTATATATATATATATATATATATATATATATATATATATATATATGAAGAGTTCAGATGCAAAAGCCTCTAAATGCCATTTGAAATTTTCTTCTAAAATGACCATTTTTATCAAGCTTGTATATTTAAGTTCAGTGATTTCACTTAAATAACAATTAATAGGTAATCTTCATTGCCATTTAAGTGAAATTACTGAACTTAAATATACAAGCTTCATAAAAATGATCATTCTAGAAGAAAATTTCAAATGGCATTTAGAGGCTTTTGCATCTGAACTCTTCATATATATATGTTAGTTAGTTTGTTAGTTTTTAGTTATTTATTTATTTTAATTTATTAATATATTTGTTATTTAGTTATTTTTAATTTATTTTAGTTATTTAGTTATTTATTTTTATTTATTTTTTAGTTATTTCAAACTTGTATGAATCTCTTTTAACATCTTTAACAATTTTGATAATCAATTCTTTACAATAAAAATATCCCTAGTAGCTGTAGCTCTTATTTCATTTTTACAGGATTTACAGTAAAATAGTTTGGAGTTTTATAACAATTTTTTACCAGAAAAAGTTTTTGAATTTATCATTTTATATATATATATATATATATATATATATATGAAGAGTTCAGATTCAAAAGCCTCTAAGTGCCATTTGAAATTTTCTTCTAGAATGATCATTTTTATGAAGCTTGTATATTTAAGTTCAGTAATTTCACTTAAATGGCAATGAAGATTACCTATTAATTGTCATTTAAGTGAAATTACTGAACTTAAATATACAAGCTTGATAAAAATGGTCATTTTAGAAGAAAATGTCAAATGGCATTTAGAGGCTTTTGCATCTGAACTCTTCATATATATATATATATATATATATATATATATACATACAAACAGTTGATCTATCAATTTAAGTATTCAGAAGAAATATCTGAGCCTGCTCATGGTGTTTGAGGGTTAATCCACATGAATCTTCTTGTTGAATCAGAAACTGCGAGCTGTGGCCACCCAGTTTAAATCTACGCGTCTCGATCCTCCGTGCACCAACTCGACCCCGTCAACCCTGTACCTGAACAACCCGCTCGTGAAGACTGCCCTCCACATCTCGCCCAATGCTTTGGACTGGGTCATCTGCAGGTGCGTTAACTGGACTTTAATAATAACGCAAAATGCAAATGAGTGTTGCGATAGAGGACTTTAATTTTGAAATTGTTGCAGTGCTGAAGTCAATCTGAACTACAACCGCCTGTTCATGGACGTGAAGAAACAGTACTTGAAGCTTCTTGGAGCACTAGTGAGTGATGGGAACGTAAATGCTTATGAATCATATATTTCCGTGTCTACAGATGATTTCAGTGACATATTTTCAACAGAAATACCGTGTGCTGGTTTATAATGGAGATGTGGACATGGCCTGCAACTTCCTAGGAGACGAGTGGTTTGTGGAGTCTCTCCAGCAAGAGGTCAGTAGTCGTCTTTTACTCTTTGTCTGGTCAATCAAATAATATTTTTCAGATCTAAAAAGCCAGACAATAAGATTAAAACTTGATATAATTTATGTAGTTTTTATTATGAATTTAATTATATTTTATTAATTGAATAGTAAGTTGTTGATTATTTTTCATTTATTTAAATGCGATTGTAAGGGGATTTGCAGTCAAAGCCCCAGAACCAGATATGATGCATGAAGACCCAGAGTCAGATTTTTAATAAATGAAAGTTTTACTGAAGATAGTTTGCAGTTTCATCTGCAGAAATCTCACAGTGAGTTCGTAGGTCGTAATCCCGCTTACAGCCAATGTTTAAGCTACATCCTTGCTTCGGGGAACGTGTTTCTGGGTTTTTTTTATTTATTTCTATAAATAAATATTTATTTAAATAAGATTTCATTTTATGATGAATAAACTTTATAAAAGACCCAGATTTCGAACTTTCATTCTTGCGGATACTATGGATAATTTTACAAGGTTGAATGTAAGATTTTTGCCCATTTTTTGGAAAATACAGGTTAAAATTTGTAATAAGTCACTTTAACCACTAGATGGCTATAGATCTCCACTAGGCCTATATACTATTTGAATTATTGAAAAATATAGTTTCTAAAGTTGGATTCAGTTGGATTCATATCTAAATATTATAACAAAAATAAAATACTTTTTGTCAAAGTTTAGCATTTGTTTTTGTACTGAAAAAACAACACTTTTTCAATAATGTTACATTATGATTAGAATCAAACCTGAACATGTTACAAATAGAAATGTTGGAGTCTTAAGATTTGATCATTTATTTCAACTGAACAGAACAGAACTTTTTTTTTTTTTTTTTTTTTTTTTTTTAATTCAAGCAAAAGTCATTTGGGGTCAATCAGAGGGTTAATAAATTATTATACAATCTTAAATGCATACAAAATATAATTTAATTTTTTATTTTTTTTTCATTGGAAATATTGGCCATTTTTGTGCAAATGTGTGTGTTCTTTCATTCGGAGCAGAAACGATCTCTTCATCTTCTCCAACAGGTCCAGGTGCAGCGCAGATCTTGGGTTTATTTCAACGGTGAATCTCAGCAGGTGGGCGGCTTCGTCAAGGAGTTCACCAACATTGCTTTCCTCACAGTGAAGGTAAGACTCCAATAAAGCAACAATCCACAAATCTCTGGTTTCGATGTATGAATGAAAAGCTGAACTCGGTGCCATAGATTGCCAGCATCATATGGTTCAGAATAGAGTTCCGTTGTAATCTAGTATTACTTACCTGTCAATTTTCTTTTAAATGTATTTATGTCCTCCACAGGGTTCGGGTCACATGGTTCCCACTGATAAACCCATAGCGGCCTTCACAATGTTCAGTCGCTTCATCACCAAACAACCTTACTAGAACACACTCACGGATTTCACTCTTTAAATCTGAATTTGCACTGTCACACTGGTCACATGTTTATGATCTATGGACTGTTTCTGGGACCGTACTCTGATATTCAACTTCAGAACTGATGAAATTTTCTACTTTATATTTTGTTTTATGTAGTTTAGTTGCCAGCCTTGTTATCAAGATTAAGCCATGCTGACTGCACATAATGTTTCGTAGTAGGCGTTTGAGGGAATCACGATGTGAATGCATCTATATGCCACTATTGATAATGTGTGATTATGGTTGATTTATTTTAATTAGTGTTTACAAATTTAAATTCAATCCGATGTTTATCTTTGGTGAGTGGATGCTCACTGTTTATTGCACAATTTTAGCTTGTCTTCTCCATTAAACATGAAACTAGCCTTTTTTTTTTTTAAAGAATTCATTGCACATAATGTCTTTTTAGGTCCTGATTATATAAATGATTATTTGTGGTACTTTTTGTGCTCATAAGGGAATAATATGTGTGCCTTATTTCTTCTTTCCCTCAGTTTTTGTTCATTAAAGATCCATTTTTCTATGATTTTTTTGAATCTTTTTATTGTAGAAAATGGTGCGTAAAACCGGTTTCATTTCAATAATGAACTAAACAAGGTTTGTGATTAGGTCATTTTTTTTTATAAAGAGGTACAGTAATTTTATTCACAAATAAGGAAGGCAAACCAATCTCGTATTAAACGGTTAATATAAGATAAAACTTGTACTAAAAATAATAAAATTCAACCTAAGGTACAAATACATTTTGTTTCATCCATCGAAGCACACAGTATAGCAGTTGAATGTGTTTCGGGGTTAATGCAAAACTATTGAACCAGCATTTGCAACCTATTTACTTCTGAAAGTTGATTTTAAATGCACTGATTAACAGAATGGTTTAGTGGGCATTTCATATTACAACAGAGTCAGTTTAATGCGAGTTTGCAGAGGATTGAAACCCCCCCGTTAATCCTAAAAAGCATCTCTACGGTATGTATGCTTTATAATACTTGCTTATATTGGTGCAATGTTTATGCAACATATATTTACACTAAAAGTAAAAATGTTAGATGGTATTTACACAGCAAATAGTGATAGATACTGTTTGCACAAAGTGTAAATAGAAGTATTTGTGTTAAAGGTAATGTATGTAAGCAATGGCTAATGACTCATAAATATACACTGCAAAACTTCATTATATTAGCATTAAATTATAGCAATAAAAGATTACTGCATCATATCAGCTGAAAATAAAGTCAAGACTTTTTCTGTGATGATGTGCATTGACAAATTATTCACAATAACAGCAGGAAGAGAGTAAATAAGGTTGATTTCGAGTTAATGTTGACTGACGAATCTGTACAGTTAAACATCATGCTTCGGCTTGGAGGTTAGTGCTCTTCTTTTAAAACCTCCATATTTTAGTATTTGTGCATGAATGCATTAATGTTAAACTGTGTTGTCTGTGCGAGCCGACAGCCTGTTCTCGATTAGTTCTCGCAGACTTGTTCTGAAGTGTAGGTTTGCTCCCACGATGATGTAGCCCTGTCAAATCAAAGTAAGAGGATACAGATGAACATATATTATCGGCTATAGATTAAACTTAAAGGAGTGGTTCACTTTTCAAAAAAAATTGCTGATAATTTACTCGCCCCCATGTCATCCAAGATGTCCATGTCTTTCGTTCTTCAGTCGAAAAGAAATTAAGGTTTTTGATGAAAACATTCCAGGATTTTCTCCATATAATGGACTTCAATGGGGTCCAAATGATTCAAGGTCCAAATGAGAGTTTCAGTGCAGCTTCAAAGGGCTTTAAACGACTCCAGACGATGAATAAGGGTCTTATCTAGTGAAACGAGCGGCCATTTCAAAAATAAATAAAAAAATTTAAGTTTTATGAGCTCAAATGGTCGCCTTGCTCTGTTCTGTGATGAGCGTTCGTGACTCTCCTGTTCGAACTCGTTCATCAAAATGAGTCAATTCGTTAATTTCGTTCGTTGAATGAACCAAATGACACGAAAAAAGATTCGTTCATTTTGATAAACGAGTCTGAAAGTGTCTTTTGGATCTTGAACTGTTTGGACCCCATTGAAGTCCATTATATGGAGAAAAATCCTGGAATGTTTTCATCAAAAACCTTAATTTCTTTTGGACTGAAGAAAGAAAGACATGGACATCTTGGATGACATGGGGGTGAGTAAATTATCAGCAAAAGTTTTTTTTTTTTTTTTTTAAAGTGAACTACTCCTTTAAAATAGTAAAAGTTTCCCTTTAACTTACATTGTGATACTCGACCACTTCTTCAATGAAGTCTAACCCGTCAGGAAGAGGGATCTGCACACCTCGCTTAATGTAATCTTGCATGAAAACACAGGATGAACCATTTAGATGCTTTTTTTTTCAAATATATTAAGCAAATATCTCTGATCAATACCAACAGTTTTTTTTGTTTTAAATAAACTAATGCATTTTTTTTTCAGCAAGAATGTGTTAAATTGATCAAATGTGACATTAAAATATAATTTTTCAAAAATTGAAAAAATGAAGCAGTTGTTTTCAATCTTGATAATGAGAAATGTATTGTACACTAATTTTGAATTGTTATAATATTTCACAATTTTGCGCTTTTACTGTCTTTTTTTGATCCGCCTTGGTGAGCAGAAGAGACTTGATGATTAAATATATCCACATAGCTTGACTCACTGTTAATGAGAGGCACCACGGATATCTGCAGCATCGTCTTCAGGGGACCCTGCAGTGGAATAAGCTGAAGGAAAAGACCTTCATCACATTTGCTGTCCACGCTTTTTATTATCAGGTAAATCAAAACATCTGAGGGAACTTACAGCTAAAGACTCCAGAGCGGACTGATTGGAGTAGATTTTAAACCTGAAAAATGATTCCCAGTTCAAAATCAATGTTATATAGGTGGTCAAATACGGATTTTGCGTTCACTTGAGGAAACAAAATCTACTGTTTTTCTGAATTAACAAGTTAATTATCTCAGAATTACGAGATCATTTTTCATGGAAAAAAGTTTTTGCTCTGTTTTTCTGAATTAACGAGTTAATTATCACAGAATTACAAGAATTTTTCATGGAAATTTTATTTTTTGCTCTGTTTTTCTGAATTAATGAGTTAATTATATCAGAATTACCAGATCATTTTTCATGGAAAAAAGTTTTTGCTCCATTTTTCTGAATTAACGAGTTAATTATCTCAGAATTACAAGAATTTTTTATGGAAATTTTTTTTTGCTCTGTTTTTATGAATTAATGAATTGATATCAGAATTACCTGATCATTTTTCATGGAAAAAGAAGTTTTTGCTCCGTTTTTCTGAATTAACGAGTTAATTATCACAGAATTACAAGAATTTTTCATGGAAATTTTATTTTTTGCTCTGTTTTTCTGAATTAACAAGTTAATTATATCAGAATTACCAGATCATTTTTCATGGAAAAAAAAGTTTTTGCTCTGTTTTTCTGAATTAACGAGTTAATTATCTCAGAATTACAAGAATTTTTCATGGAAATTTTTTTTTGCTCTGTTTTTATGAATTAATGAATTAATTATCTCAGAATTACCTGATCATTTTTCATGGAAAAAAAAGTTTTTGCTCCGTTTTTCTGAATTAACAAGTTAATAATCTCAGAATTACAAGATAATTTTTCATGGAAAAAAGTTTTTTCTCGGTTTTTCTGAATTAATGAGTTAATAATCTCAGAATTACAAGATAATTTTTCATTGAAAATTAGTTTTGCTCTGTTTTTCTGAATTAATGATCTTCTTATCCATGAAAAATTATCTGGCAATTCTGAGATAATTAACTCGTTAATTCATAAATTAACTGTTTCCTCAAGTGAATGCTTCTGTAGTAAAAGATGGTTGAATGTTTGTGCATTATATTTACCTTCTCAGATCTAAATGGATACTCAAGCGCTTGGCCTTCATTGACACTTTGGCGTTGAATTTACCTTCCTAAAACAAGGACAAATTTGGTGCATTTATTGCATCCCTTAATCAAAAAAACTAATTATTGCATTATGTATGTTACAGTTCTCACCATGGTCATGATGCTGAGCTGAACTGGTGGTTTTCCTGCCGGGTGAACCAACACTTTGACCATGGAGGTGACGGCCACGTTGGCACCGGAGGTCTTGATGGTGGACCGAGGAGGAGACGTGACCTCGATCTCCAGTGACAGAGGCTGATCCATCAGCGCCGGGTTCTGATTGGACAGAACAAACACAGAGAATGAGTGAAGGCCGAGGCTTTGCTGTGCGCTTCATGCATGTTGACGATCTAATGTTGCTCACCAGCATCATCATCGTCCCCAAGTACGTGGTCCTGAGGAGCAATTCTAAGTCCTTTGGCATCTGAAATGAGTGAGTTTTATATATATGAGTCTTATTTTTGTCTCGTGCCTTTGAAGCGTATTAGATGGTGTCTTACTCGTTCGTTTGCGATCCGTGTTTGGAACAGGCCACCTTTGAAGTAAGAGAAGAGGCCGCTGTCGAAGAAGTACTCGGAGAGAGAGAGATAGACCATACGATCATACTCTCTCACTACGGGATTCACAGCGTAGTTCACCAGGGTGTCATTCTCATTCTTAAGGGAGTAAAACATGCCCTGTCCAAAGGAAAAGGAGAGAAATACATCAAGTGTGTGTGTGTGTGTGTGTGTGTATATAACTCAAACTTTTATGTAAGATGTGATTAATTGCAATTAATCTATTTAACACCCCTAATTATATATATTTTTATATTATCTAATTATAAATATTTTTTATATTATATATAAATTTTATATAATATTTTATATTACCTAATATATATATTTTTTTATATTATATTATTATATATATTTTTATAATATTAATTGCATCCAAAATAAAAGTTTGTGTTTGCATAATATATGTGTGTGTACTGTGTATAATTATTTTGTATATAAAAATTCACACACGTGCTTGTATATATATTTCAGAAAAATGTGTTATTAATATATAAAATATTAATATTTAATATAAATTATGTATAAATATATATACAGTATATTCATGCAAATATTTCTTAAATATATACATGCATGTGTGTGTATTTATATATGCAAAATAATTATACACAGTACACACACATATATTATGTAAACACAAACTTTTATTTTGGATGCAATTAATCGTTGCCCAGATATGATATATTATATTGGCCAAAATATATGTAAAATGTATACTAAATATATGTTGTAAACAGCAGGGCTTGAGAAAATATATCTTTCAAATGTTTAGAAAAAAAATATATATTAGAAAATGTTCTTCGAGGGGCAAAAAAAAATACTTTTTCAGTCTTAAAATAAATTTGGGGTGGATGCAGAATTAATTAATTAAATAAATATTACTTATAATATTTACTTTTTAAAATATGTATTAAAAATGTTTGGAAATATAATAAATAAAAATTTTCTAAAATCAATTTTAACATTTATATTTTCAACATATGTGTTGAAAAATATCATTCAGAAATCATTCTAATATGCTGATTTGCTGCGTGAGAAACATTTCTGATTATTATCAATGTTGAAAAGAGTTGTGATGATGCGTCATATTTTTGTGGAAACAGTTTCAGGATTATTTGATGAATGTAAACTGACCCCAAACCTTTGAATAGTACACACTTAATGCATTACTCCAGAGTCAGTGGGTGGAGCTTGATGTTCAGCTCCCCCTCTCTGGATGTAATGGGTGGGACTTGAAGGTCAGGCCCCACCCATTAGTTCCACTCGCATCTGTCACTCACCTTAAAATCCATATCAAGGCTTGATTCTGTCACCACAGGGTCACTCAGCAGAGAGTAGTCGATGCCCACGTAATTGTCCACTTCCGTGCGCACTGAGAAACACATTCAGGTAAACACATGTCAGCCAGATAAACATATCACAACAGTTTTATGATGATCGACATGTTCTCTAACCTGGGATTGTTTCCAGCAGCTGGTTGACCAAAACTAGTGCAGCATGATTCAAGGCAGGACAAATCTGACCGAGACATACATGCAGTTAATTTCTATTAAAATGTGTTAATATGTAATATGTGTTAATATATTTCCTTGGTGAGGGCAAGCATGACACGAGTCTCCTATTCCTGACTGAAAAAAAGCAAACAAACCTGTCGATTTAGGATGAAGCGCATTCCTGTAGTCAGGAACGTTCCGATGAAGTCATAAACCCGCCTGTGAGAATATGCCATATAATGCAAAATGCCGAGCAAATAAAAATATTTGTATTATTTTTTAATTTATCAACACAATCAAGTTACCCAAGAGTCCCGCCAAATTTGGCCCTCATCTTGGCGATGGACGCGTCACAGGTGATGTTGGAGATCTTGAGACGGCCCTCCTCGTCTTTGCTCAGATGGAGGACCGTGAAGATGTTGACGCCTTCAGCCGAGGCGTTGATGGCTCCCTCATCATAACTAGCGGAGAGAGAGAAATAGTGGAGGTTTTTAACTACACACAATGTGCAGTTCTCATTCAATAGAAAGATTTAAAGCATTAAAGCTTTTAGTGCATGCCTGTTAGTTTTCATTTACATTAAAAGAAGACTCTTCTGTTCACCAAGGCTGCATTTATTTGATAAAAAAATACAGTAAAAATAGTTTAATATTATTTCAATTTAAAATAACTGTTTTCTATTTGAATATATTGTATTTCTGTGAATTTTCAGCATCATTACTCCAGTCTTCAGTGTCACATGATCCTTCAGAAATCACTCTAATATGATGATTTGATGCAGAAATGTGGTTCCAAGAGGTAAAACGATTTAAATACTGTTGGTTTTCTCACACACACCGCTCGTTTCGTGTCTTAGGCCATCAATGTGTACTTACATTTACGAGTCATTAAATCATGTTTAATTTGGACTTCTCTGTGCATGCTCTTTGAAGTGGTGACCATAGACCTCCATTATATGACTGACCTAAAAATATCAAAATTGAAACTACTGCGGAAACAAAGACACCTGCATCTTGGATGCCCTTGAGGTAAGATAAAACATATCAAAAATCAATTTCAAAGTGAACTATCCCTTTAAGTGTTATTATCAATGTATTTCTGAGAATAAGTAGAAGTTATATTTTAAAAGAGGTATTCTTGTTTTTAAGGCTAGGCCTATTGTTGCTTGTTGCTACAGATGTTTTTCAGACTCACAAGAGCCAGTAAAGGATGCGTCTCTGGAAGTTGAGGGTGATGGAGGAGTTCTGCACATCGAACAGCAGCCCGACTTCTGGCTGGAAGCGCAGGTCAGACGTCAGGTTCAGCTCTGTGACCTTCACACTAAAGAAACATCAGTTTAAATACTTTTAATTCAAATTGCAATACTGAATCCTCTTTGCTTCCTTAATTCAAAATCACTAACTGAATTGGTATTTAAAAGTCCAGGTTCAGAATTAAAGGATTAGTTCAGGATAATTTACTCACCCCCATGTCATCCAAGATGTCCACGTCTTTCTTTCTTCAGTCGAAAAGAAATTAAGGCTTTTGATGAAAACATTCCAGGAATTTCTCGATATAATGGACTTCAATGGGGTCCAAACGGTTCAAGGTGGAAATGAGAGTTTAAGTGCAGCTTCAAAGGGCTTTAAACGACACCAGACGATGAATAAGGGTCTTATCAAGTGAAACGATTTTTTATTTTTTAAAAATATAACAAAGTTTATGTTTTATATGCACAAATGCTCACCTTGCTCTGTTAGGATTTAGGATTAGGGTTAGGGTGTGATGCGCGTTCGTGACTCTCCTATTCGAACTCGTTCATCAAAATGAACGAATCTTTTCCCGAGTCAACTCGTTCATTTCGTTCGTTGAATGAACCAAATGACACGAAAAAATATTCGTTCATTTTTATTTCGCATCACAGAACAAAGCAAGGTGACCATTTGTGCTTATAAAACGTAAACTTTTTTATTTATTTTTTTAATCAGCGATCGTTTCGCTAGATAAGACCCTTATTCATCATCTGGAATTGTTTAAAGCACTTTGAACAGTTTGCACTGAAACTCTCTTTTGGACCTTGAACCGTTTGGACCCCATTGAAGTCCATTATATGGAGAAAAACCCTGGATTGTTTTCATCAAAAACCTTAATTTCTTTTCGACTGAAGAAAGAAAGACATCCACATCGTGGATGACATGGGGGCGGGTAAATTATCAGCAAACGTTTTTTTTTTTTTTTTTTTTTTTTTTTTAAGTTAACTACTCCTTTAAGTATAGTCCTCAGCTGGCTGAGTTAGACATATGACTTTTACTTTCTGACCTCTGGAGTTACACCGCTGCTATTTTCATTTCTGAATGGTGCACAACTCTAGTGCCTAATGTCCATTTGCATCCTCGTGGTCTATGTGTGTGAATGCCCACATGAGGGCGCCGGATGAGCATGAGTATTACAGTGGGAATCAGTTCGATAAAATAATAATACACATACTCTTTTATGGTGTATTGGAAGCGGCCCTCGGAGCCACGCATTTCTGGCATGGTGATGTTACTCAACTCTCCTTCCACGAAATTCTTTGTCTCAGCTTTCACTGTAACGTCAAACAGAGGCCAGTCTTTTATAGACTAATATATGGGAAACTATATTTGCATTTTTAAGTCTGAATACTGGACTATATCTTACACATCTCCAGTCCTCTGTCAGTGATGCGGATCTTGCATCCAGGCGGCTGTGCTAAAGTCATCGTGACGAGTGAAAGAAGAAAGATAACAGAGACTTTCAGCAGTCCCATGATTCCTCAGTACCCTGAAAAACAACAATCAAGAGGAAACCGAGAGCTTGGATCAACCAGAATCTTGAAAAATGTTTGAGGGTAGGCCGAAGTTACGACGTCACTCTGTAGGCCAAAACGCGGAAGTGAGTTAGCATTTTAGCATTACGGTCCCCTCGCTCTAAAGCCTATGGGATTTTTGAATGGGTTTTTGCTAAATCGCCTGAAATAAGGTCTGTGGTGAACAGAGCCTCCTCTAAATATTTTCATGTTTTGATCTATGACATAAAACACACAGTTATAACCTGCTTGTGGTTTTTTAAACTTTATTGTGTCTGATGATTGTGTTTTTTTTTTAAATCTTTATATAGGCTTCAAAATGTTTAAATTTTGGATTTTCTTGCTAGACAAAACGTGTAAGGGTCACAACCCTTTGTTAAAAACAGATCTTATTTTTTGCGATTTTCCAAAAGTCTATGGGGAAAATGCATTGCTTTTCGACCGAGGGAACCGCCGCTAGCTTCCGAGTCGTCCTACAAAGTGACATCATGACTTCGGCACTCTATTGGTTTTTATAAACACTTTTTTTGCCCAGTGGTTGAAACTCGCTTCACATCATGATAGCAATAAACAATATAAGTAGTCTAAAAAATTTAAACATATTCTGTGGAAGTCTTACGTTCATACCTGCCTATCAACTTATGTATTTCCCCATAGATATGTATATAAAGGCTAGATGTGTTCACGTCATCACCGGCGCCATATTGTCACAGACAAGCTGATGGAAGATGAGTGGTCTGCACGAACACAAATACTCTTATCTCGTTGAAATCTTGACGGATTTACAAAAGGTTTGGTTTCTTACGAACGTTATTAACGTGGCTATAATTATCTGGATGATTATTTATTTATACACTTTTTATTCATAAGTATGCAGTGTCATAACTACATCTCTGACGTTTATAACAAAACAAACCGTTTGAAAATCGGTAGAAAATTGAGCAAGTTATGGTCATTTAAATAGTACATGTACCTTTAACACAACGTTACGAGTGAGCGAGCTGCCTGTGACAAGATGGCCGCCAGGTGGAGACGTCGACCTCCATTGGCCAGCAGCGTGGACGACATATCTAGCCTTTATATCTATGTATTTCCCCACCTGCTCGCGCAGACATTACACGTCATCAGCGCGTTTCATGAGGCGATGCTGAGTTTTAGACATTTTTTACAGTCTATGGTTGTAGAGAGCGCCACAAACAAACAGCAGACGCTTTTTACAGTTCCCTCTGAACCAAATTAATGAGCTTATATGCTGTGTTCACGCCATGTTGTAACCGTAATGGCAACCGGAGCTGTTGTGTTTACGTCAACACTATCAATGCTGAAATGAATCTGCAGCAGTCAGGTCACACTCACAGGTGGTACAACTAGAGCTCTGTAAGATTAATTTGATTAGGATTAAGAAATATATATTTTTATAAGTATAAATACAACTTAAATTGAAATAATATTTCACAAATTCAGTTCAAATTGTTCAATTCAAAGATCACATCAGAGTTACTATCTTGAGATATAGTCTATTGCAGCTTTACACAGGCAGTTCTGTCTCTTTCCAGTCCTGCATCAAAGAGCTTCTCTAGTGCGGCGACAGGAAAATGGGCGCTGACAGCTAAATATACAGAGACAGCAAAGCAAACGAGAGAATGATCTTGCCTTTCAAGCGTATGTAAGAAAATATCCAGCCAAAGATGTCCAGGTCTTTCTGCTCTTGTTTCTGTAGCAGTGTGTGTGAGGAGTGTATGTCTGCGTATAGTGCAGAGAAGGAGAGACTGTTTGCTTCGTCTGAATGGACAGCAGAGAGAGAGAGAGAGAGAGTCAGTGAGGAGGGAGAGAGAGAGAGAGGTGGTGAGAGTGTTCTAAGAGATTGTGTGATTGCTAAAGTGTATTTGGTTGTTGTTAATCAATTGTGGGAATTCTGTCTGGTTGCCGTGGAGTTCTGGGTGGTTGCCAGGGTGTTGCTATGAAGTGTTTTGAGAGGGTTTTGGCAAATTGGTTAAGGTGATCTGGGTTGTTGCTTTTCATTCATGTGCATATGCTCGAATGGTGTGGAACAAGTTAATGGTTTGTTTAAATTACTAAATTTATATGGTCAAAATTAAAAGTATGATAGAGAACAGCTTGAATGAGGTCGCTCTCTTGGAGGTCGCATGTGTGCGTCTGTCGCTGGAGGCAGCTGTGTCTATAGTCACCCACGCAGGAACAAACAGGACCAAAACAAACCGTCACACAAATGGGCTATTTAGGGTCATTGACCCCAGGGTCCAGCGGCTGATTTATCCCGCTTCGAAGAAGATGGTCTCAGGCAGGCAGGAAGATTTTTTACAAGTGCCTCATTCATTTTGTATAAAAGCCTGCATGGGCTTAGGAGCTTTTTAAGAAAACCTTTCTTTCAGCAAAAACATTGTCAGTGTGCAATACCAATAGGTGACCTTTGACACTAAATTATGCTCAATGAAGCCAGACGTCTTTACATTTCAGGATGAACATGTTCTTTGTGAAACATATATGAAGAGTTCAGATGCAAAAGCCTCTAAATGCCATTTGAAATTTTCTTCTAAAATTACCATTTTTATCAAGCTTGCATATTTAAGTTCAGTAATTTCACTTAAATGACAATTAATAGGTAATCTTCATTGCCATTTAAGTGAAATTACTGAACTTAAATATACAAGCTTGATAAAAATGATCATTTTAGAAGAAAATTTCAAATGGCATTTAGAGGCTTTTGCATCTGAACTCTTCATATCAAGTTGTAGTAAATCATGTTAGTGGGAATGGTTTAGGTCTTGGAATGTTCCTCACGAGTGTTGAGAGTGCATGGAGTTACTATAGTTCACACAGGTCAATACCCCAAACATAATAAGAAAAACAATGTTAACAACATTCAAGATATGTTAACTTATAAAACAGTTTTGGAAGACAGCAGCACTACAACAGTGTAATTGTAGCTATTTTTAAATATTTTTTTGGTACTATATGTAATATCGATGTATTATTTTATTCTTTTAAATAATTGATATAATAACATACAAGAACATTTCAGATATACAGTATGAATTTGGGTCAAAGGGCAAAACGATGTAATATAAAATGCAACACAGCTATTTTAACTAATTTAAATGGTTAAAATAAAATATGTTGTACTTCTTTGACATGCAGATTTTTTCTAAATGTCAGAGACACTTCATGAAGGACCCTATAAATCATATTAAAGCTTCTAATGTTCTAAATCCAGGGAACTGGTGATGTCCGATAGCCACAAACAGTGCACATTTCCAAATTAGCCATATAGAAACATAAACCTACCTCCATTTGTGTTGGAAAGTCATTCGTTGTATTTTGAGTCATGGCACAAAGTGAAACCTTCAACTTTGAACACATTTTGTGCAGCAAGCATTGCAGCTTATTCCCATATTTCCCTCCCCAAATACTTTTGTATTGCCTTTCACAATAGCAGAATACTTACAGCGGTGTGGAAATACAGGCTGGGTAACTTTAGTGTCTCTCAGATATAAACTTATATTGCGGTCTGGAAATCATCAGTGTTTAAATCCTCTCGCGTCCGTCCCTCTTTTAGTCTGGGTTCACTTTACTCCCAGTTTATATAGGAGTCGGTAAGCATTTTGGGAAAAGGGTGTTTCTCTTTGCCTCATGTCATATGACCTTGTTGTGGCAAATATTCATCAGAATAAGAAAACATTTTTCAGAGATTAACATGCAACAAATAACTGAATTTTGTTTCATTTTCTAAAAACGTTTCTAGGAGTTTATTATTTCGATGGCTCCAGCCTGCATTAAACAGATTCCAGCAGTCTGCCCTTTAATTTTTGGAGACTAAACCTTTAATTAGTTCATGACTTCTGAGAAGCCCATGTTGCAAGGCTTCATAGAATCACATGATGCAAGAAATGGGTTCCACTTAAAACCACAGAGGGCCAAGGTGGAGCTCACTTTGGAGAATCAAGTTCAGAAAAACGTCTCTGGCCACCAATTATGGGGTGAAAACGTATAGTTTTAAACCTGTTTGAAAAGAGGGGGATGTACAGCACGACATTTGATTTCACTTCCACCAAACACCAGAAATCCCTCCGTGGCCTCGCAGAACTTCGGTAGACCTTGGGCCCTGATGAATGGCTTGCCGTGCGGGGCATTGATGTCAGGAAAGCATTAAATCATGATTTGAGTACATGCAGTGCACTGTAAAAAATATATATATATTCATGATTTATCATCACAACTTTTTTTCTTTTGTAATATCAACTTAGATAATTTATGTGGTTCAGATAATATAATATTTTGAGTTTGTGTTTAATTAAATCAAACTCCTTCATTGAATTAAATTTTTTTTATGTCAATGAACTCAAAATTTGAAGGCAACCAGGATACTGCAGCTTGGGTTGTTATAGGGGATTATCACGCTTCTGGGTTTCATGGGCGGGATTTGTTAACTTTGTGCATGTCCACTTCAAGCAGAGAGTTTTGAACACTGGCTGGTTATGTATTTTCTCAAATATGTATTTTGGATATTTTTTAACCCCCAAAAAAGCTACGGACTACCGCTTTAAACAGACTTTAGCCTTTTGTACATTTTATTTTTTTAAAGTCAAGCACATCTTTAGGTTTCACCTTGTTGTTCCTTGAATGCACAACTCATAAATATTAAAAGTGTAACTGCAATATAATGATGACAGGGGAGGTGTTAAGGTGTATCTACTATGCGTTATGACTTTATCAATTTGGGACTTAAATATCTGTTTATGATTGGATTTCATACTTGATTTTTGAGTTTTGATGTGCTTTTGTTAATAATAATGAGTTTAATAATACGTTCAAAACAGACATTGCCAAACTAAAACGATTATAGAATTTTCAGTAGGCTAGTATAAAGCTTAAATAAAAAATTAGATGAAACAATCAATGTTAGAAATGTTTCCTTGGCCACTAACTGAAATACGTTTAAGTTGAGGTACTAAAATGGCTCAAACAAAACTGAAATAAAAATAAAGCTGAATAGAAATACTTAAAAGAAAACAAACATATTTAATACACAGTACACACACATTTTTTTAGGACAACAATAAAAAACATTCACGCAGTTTCCTATAAATAAACAAAACAATTAGTTTATTTATGTTTGTTATTTCGCTTCACAGTAGACTGAATGAATGAATGCCTCTCTACAAATGGCCGCGCGGGTTTGACGACTTTCACTGTGGATGGCAACTAAACCCGCGCATGCGCATTAACCGCGTCCGAGTGCCCGATACAAGATGGCGGAGTCGGTGGGGAGGGAGAGGCGGAGGCGGGTCCGAACCGAATAGAGCAAAGCCTATTGAGGACTCCCATCAAACCTCTCCAAGGTAAGGGATTCAGTCATCGAAGCGCAGCACTAGACCTATGGGCGCGTGGCGGAATGCTCGGGGCACAATAATATCCCCACGGTTGCTGAAAACGTGCGCAGTGCACGCAATAAACAGACATTATAATGCGCAGTGAGCGCGGCGCCTATATGCGAGAGCGCGCGCCATCTTGTCGACCGTTTCCACTAAGCCAAAGTGCGCGCCTAAAATTTTTGGTCGTAACGGTCGAAAATTGACGGGATTAAAACTCAATAAATGAGCAGTTTGACACTCTATGGTGATGGCCCTATGTATCCTCGTCCTTTCTGTGCCCAAATGAAGCCAGATGCCACGCCACTTGGTCTTATTTTACCTGCTCTATCCAGCACATCAGCTTGTGCTGCCGTAGTAGCTCTTTGTTGGATGTTTTTCTCCTCCTCCTTCGGGTTTGTTTTCGGGCGGCTCGATCTGGGGTGGGCGGCGTAGCAGGCGCATGCGTGCCCTTCTTTCGCTCATTTGCGCTCTTATTAACGACGATAAACGCTGTAAACACTTTCGTTGAATAAATACATGATGTAAGGCATGATGCCCTGTGTTATTAACCAACTGGACTCACTGTAATACTGTACAATCGTATTGCGATCCGGCATGTCAACGCCATAGTGCTTTTTGAATGGTTTATTTGTTGGAAAAACGCCATTTCTTAGATTGAGTGATAAATTACTACCTGTCAGTATTTAAATGCATGGCAACTCGGGCCAGCGAAATACATTTTAACCGTAAGGTGCCTTTACGTTTACCATGGTATCACGACTATGATACTCATCTGAAGTAAAGAGAGAGTGTCACTGACTGTCTATATATCATTTTAAAACATTACCTTCAGTGTAACGCTACCATACTGAATATTTGCCTGTGACGTAACGTTACCATATTTTCTATAAAGTATTCGTATGGAAATGACACAACCTCTACTAGAAATTACCATGGTAACTCTAACCATATCTCATGAATAAAACGTTTTGTTTTGTTTTTTTACTCTGTATGTGTAACTGTTTGTGGATCCAAAGTTTCACTTTTATTATGTGAAGGTTTATTATTTCCCTGTAGAGTTTTTGTTTCTCATTCACCCAAAACTGGTTTAAAGGCACAGCTCACCTAAAAAATAAAAATCTTGTTAATTAATATTACAAGATACGGAAGAGGTTTAAGGCCAAGCAATAATAAAAAAATAAAACCATCTTGAGATTAAAGTCGTTATAATGTGAGATTAAACTCGTTAAATTTCGAGAGAAAAAAGTCGAAATACAATCTTGAGAATAAACTCATTAAATATCGAGAATAAAGTCGTTGTGTTTCGAGAAAAAAACTCATACATTTCGGGAAAAAAAGTTAAAATACAATCTTGAGAATAAACTCATTAAATATCGAGAATAAAATCGT